ATTTTTTTTTTTTTTTTTCGATTGTATTGTAAATTGGTTTGAATGATGTTTCTTTTTTGGTGCAGTAAAAAAAAAAAAAAAGTAGGAAAAAAAAAAAAAAAAAAAATCTGCAAACTAAATATTTATATGTACATAAAATAATCCCTCCTGTACCCTTTTTTATATCCTCACATTTCATCTCCGTCCACGCCGTTTTTGGAGAGCGCCCACTTTTTTTTTTTTCTTAAAAAAAATAATATGAACCTTTTTTCCCCCTTTTTTTCGACCGTATGCGAATAAAAAGAAAAAATAAAAATAAAAAAAAAAAAATAAAAAATTTTCCTGCACTTGTTTAACCTCTATGATACTAATTCCTCTATGTATTTATGTATATTTGTATATATAATTAACCTGAATATATATATTTTATGAGTGATGATGACAGTAGTGTGTACTAGAATAGGATCTGGGATGCAATTTTGTCGGAAGAAATTAATATTTTTGTACTTTTGTTGATTGATGCACATGAAACAATTATACCGATGAACTATACCCGAGAAACAACCCTCAAGTGGTATTAATAAAACACATTTATTTATTCCTTAAAGACTCCTCGGTAAGCTAACATCAAATCTGCAAACTCAAGTCCGGTTGTATGGATGATTGCTGATTCACAATAACTCCACCACTCTTATCACCATCTTCGTCATCAATGGTCACCCTATCATCATAATCATTACTGCTAATCTGAAAATTCTGAGAAGAAACCGGCATCACACTGTTGATATTCTTTCCGTGAACCTTAAACTGATATAAACACGTGTACTTTCCGTGCCCCCCAATTACTATTTATCTTAAATATAACTCCTTTGATGGGTATCTTTTCGCTGCCGTTTGAATGCTCGACAACGAAATTTTGAACCGGCGGTCCCTCCAGATCATACACGAATTCGCCAAGTTTTATGAAGTCATCTTGAATCACTTGTTTTTGTGATTTTTTCGAAGCGGTCATAGGAGCGTTGCCGTCACTTCCGTTCGTTTCCGATCCCGATGTACCTGACGTACTTTCCTGTCTGACGTTTGATTTTATCTCGTTTTCTTTGGCTTTGGTTTTGTTCTGCATATACTTTTCATCGGGTATGCCCAATATCGCGAGTCGTGCCGGTGCACTCCGCAGATTATCATCATCCAATGCCAATGCTCGATCTATGTGTTGGTAGGTGATGGAGGTGATGTATATTGACCGGCTGAGTTGAATCGCGAGTTGTCCTTTGTCACCAGCGAACGCGAAGCATTTGCCCACCGAATTATCACTCGTCACCGCCACCGAGGGTGACAACCCTACAACCATTCCTCGTCCCGTTATCCTTGCCCATAACTTTCCGGCAAAAGATTCGGGCATCTCCACATAGCTACGACTTGTGTAGGAATGTATGATCCGTGAGCCGCCTGAACCCAACGCGAAATCTGGTATGTTGAGTATATCCGATTTCACGTACTCCATGAATATTCTATGAGCAACTTTGGTCACGAATTCATTTAGTTTCTCGGTGTCAGGTAGTTGGACGTTTATCATCTTATCCCTAAGTACGTTGCTAACTATAGAAGGTACGAACTTATGCAACATCTCTTCAATCTTTTTCTCGGTTATTTCGGGTGACGTATGTCGTTGCACGTCTAGGATGTGTTGGATGGTGGACTCCTTGTTGGAACTCATCAGTGACCATATTTTAGAGGCTATCGATGATTCGTAGGCTTCGGCGTTGGACGGATGTGTGATGTCGTAATGAAGCTGGCGATGATTATTTACATCTTCGATTTCGACATCGCCATTTAACCAAATGATGAAGGTCAGTAGTATGAAAGCCAGTATGGTTAACAGTTTTTTGGTCTGTCGCAGGGTCGGTATTATCTCTATCACATTATCGGAAAAATTATTTACGGCCTCGATCACTATGCCCCAGATGTTATAAACTATTTGGAAGAAGGATAGATCATTTTTACGCCTCGAGTTCAATGAACTGCATTGGAACGTAAATCTCCGATTAGGGATGTCGAATATAATAGCAGCATTATTCTTGGTACTTAAGAAAAAGAAAAAAAAAGTTACTTACCGAGACCGCCTGATGAGAGCTCCCGATGACAGATGCTCATCGTCATATATCCCTCGTCCGTGGATCTGGTGGTGTGAGGGATATTGATGAGAGTTTTCGTCCAGGTGTTTATAATAATCGTACACTCCCGGTTCATCATATATTCGCATATTCCCATTATAAAAATGCATGTTATCCTGATCATTATAGGGAATTATTATTCTCGAGGGTGATATTTTGTTACCGCCACCAATATTTTCATTGTGATTCGTTCCCTCCGGCACTCCATTGTTTATACAACTACGCTTCTTGTTTTTAGGTTTCCACGCAACTTTCGTCATCGACGCCGGTCGTAAAGGTGACGGTGTACTATCGGAATCGTAATCGGAATATGAATTATCTTCCCCTTCGTCATATGATTCGTAATGGACGGAGTGACGGTGTTTTAGATTAGATGGATCGGTGTAATCACGTGATCTGGTGCACACCATGTCTATATGGTAGAGAATAACATCAAAGGTCAGAACTTTCAATCATACTATTTAAAAAAAAGAAAGATCGATGCTCGATTCGCTATTCTCGGATCGGATAAATTCGAAGGGTCAGAGGTATAATTACCTCTGGTTTTTATCACTATTATGATGGTTACGGTGATACACTAGTTAAATAAAGGCGTTCTAATCCCGATGATAGAAAGAAAATGGTGATTGTGTTCCGTGAATTCTTCTCCCGACGTTTTTTTATTGCATTCAAGGAGAATTGGAAAAATTGAGGTGTACCTTCCCAAAATGATATTCAATAGCGGTAAATAAACCTTGAGAAATTTATTTGAGTGTGATATTAAATAGCATGTTAGTTTTGGTGCGTCGACAAAAATGTGCTATCTTGTGTTCTCACGCTGACGTGAGTACTCCTGGAACACCGCTTTTTGGTGTCCTGACGTTCTCTTCGGAACCTCCAGATTAACAAGTCTAACCTTCCCCTTCAATGGAGAGCCCCCCCCCCTCCTCCTTTTCTTTAACCTGCCTCTATTCTGCCCTTCTTACATGAGAAAACTTCTGCTTACCTTTTTAGATATACGCCTAAGATATCGGTTTCTTTCTTGCTAATAATGGGCGGTCTGTTTTCTTCGTGGCCTAAATTTCGAGAGGAGAGCAAATTTTGACATAAAAATTCCTTAATAAACTTTCACGTTTGTCAAGTTCTTCTTTTCTTCCTTGAGAAGGGAGTCGGGAGAAAGAAGACAATAGTTTCCTTCAAATGCGATAATAGAATTTTTGGTTCTTGAGAAAAACTTTTGTGTAAGCGTATATATATGTATACATGATACTAAATAGTACACATAAATCCCCCAAAATTAATTTCATGTGTATCCATTATATATACTATTGTTTACACCATTTGTGTATTTATATTTTTTACTTTAGGAGCATTGTATTATCGGTTTTACAAGACTATTTTTTTATATTGGCAATTATTTTTGTAGTATAAATTTCATGTGCATTTATCAAGAATATGGCAATTCTGACATCTATACAAGCCTCAAAAAGGAATCCGTTAGGATGCCGCAATCCAGACTATGTGCATTACGTATTTACGTACTTACGTACGCATATCGATATCCATTCTTTTCTTTTCTTTTTTTTTTTTTGGCATAAAGAAATCAGGAGGATGGTGAAAGTATTCCTCGCGTTCGCGTTACTTCCCTTCTACCATATGTATTTTTTTAGACTTGAAAATTTGATCATTATTAATGATTTCCTTTCTTTCTTTTTTTTTTTTTTTAGGTGGCGCCGTACGTTGTGCAAGAAGAGATTGGATGTGAAAAATATATCGCATCCTGAATCTAATGTCGGTGATTCCTCAAGGAAAATGAGTAAATCTAGGTTTCAGAGAAAGTTAATATGCGGACACAAATTGTGGATGATAAACCCAGGCGTCACACGCTCGATATTTGTGAGAGTAATTGGCCGTGACATTGTTGGCGGACTAATTTCACGACACAGAAAATTCAAGAAATTCCAATCTGATGAGCATGTAAACCGATTTTCCGTATGCAAACACGGGTGCGACTTGTGCGCCAATAAATTTCTTAATAGTGGATCCTATACGAGGTTAACTAAAAGAGCTCCTTTCGACAAAAAAAAAAAAAAAAAAAAAAAGGCACATGAAATGTGTGATAAACCAAATCATTCAAACAAAATATAAACAAAATTCCGTGTACAATTGCGTGAGTGGGTTTCTTTGGTTGGGGGGAACGAGGAAACTCCTGATATAACGAAAATCCTGAACGTTCAAGATACTTTTATGTAGGGTGTACAATTTGCATGCCACATCGTAGTTTATGTAACTTCCATGTACGTTATGTGCGAAATGCGTCTTCGAATCATAAGCCGTAAAGCGCAAAGCGTGATATGAGAAAAACATAATTGTATGAGGTTCGCAACAAGTATTTATAGATTCAGAAATCCACGCTAGTGACTGCATATTTTGAACCGTAACAAGACCGTAAACAAGTATCGTTCTGATAAATGTATGGCACTGTACGCACCAGTTTAAATGGATTCCATGCACGCAAAGAGTGATGAGTATTCAAGTGCGTATGCACCAACCTGAATAATATCTTATAAGAAGGGGGTGGGTAAAAAAAAAAAAAAAAAAAAAAGAGCGGTCCCGTGCTTGCTACAATAAAGATCTTTCTTTGGTATAAGTCATTTTCGCTGAGGCTGGTTGCCCTCGCATGTGTTGGCACTTTTTTTCGCTAGTAAAGTTCAGTGACTATCAAACATATGTTTTATTACGTAATCGACGTTTGCGAAGCTATGTGGTCATCCCTCCCTGACACGTCTGGTTTCATTAGTGGTTTTGCTATCGTAGCACTGATATGCATAAGCGAGATCTTTTCACATTTTTTTTTTTTTTTTTTTTTTTTCGTAATAATTGCGTAAGTTCGGTGGTGCAACGGTGGCTAAGAGCTCACGCATAACCCAACCAATCTCCTCATTTCCCGCCAAAAAATTCCTTCCTCTATTCGATTCATTGTTACGTGAGCACGACTATATTAGTACTGTACATTGTAATAAATACAGAATGACTAACCAAAAACATACTGAAGGACTGAATGCGTCCTCAGAAATTCCATTCCCGATTTCCTCCACATCGGTTTTCTTCTTCCTAGATTCATCGCTGCGCATCTGTTTCCCGCCAAAACAAATAACAACAAATTGTTCTGTAAGCGGAATTCAGCAATCTAACATTTACCTAAACCTTATTACGATTGTTCTCGAGTAAATGCAGTTCATTCTGCAAAGTTATGCTCGCGATCAAATCTAGAAAGACGAAAGGAATGTAATCGCATGACCTGTTATCTGCCACACGGGTTGTGATGACGATCGGATTTAGGATTCCATTTGTCGCATATTAGAAACATTTGTTTGTTATTGTCCGGAGTGTAACGAAGGATTGTATGTGCCTAGGCGAATACATTTTCTATGTGAAAACTCAAAATGAAACTCCGCATGTGTCACCTTTCTCCTCGGACAGTATCGCTGGTACTTTTGCTAAGAGTACGATACGATAAATAAATATACGGTAAATGGTGGTCTCGAATTCATAGAAACTAATTCTCTTTTCCTTTTTATCAATCAATCAATGAATGGAACCTTTTTTTTTTTGTGAACAATTTGAAATCTATTCATTCTTTTTTGTGAACAATTTGAAATCATTCATTCTTTTTTGTGAACAATTTGAAATCTATCTATTCATTCTTTCATCGCCTACCATGACTTTTTATTTAAAATTGAATTCGCTGCTGCATACATCGCACATATACTATATATATGAATGTAATATATCAATTGCCATATAATGGATGATATACAGTATAGCCAATTGATCTATTAAATTAGAGAAGTATTTTATAGCAATCGAAAAATAATCTTCTATATATACAGTATATATGCCGTGTAGACATATATATTTCTTAATACAACCAACCATTCACCCATAGTCTTTATGAAATTTTTAAAGTAAAGAGTTACCAATTTTTAATAATAAACATTATCTTCTCACCCATCTGTTAAATCTATCATATCAAAATTTAAAAAGTTTATTTTTTAAATACAATACAGCATACTGTATATTTTAAGAAAAATAATATCTTGTTCTTAAATTTTAGTTACACCAATATATGTTACTACGGTGTTCTGTCATGTGACGATAGTCCAATATAATTGGTAAGATACGTATTTATCTCATTTGAGAACAATGTCCAATGAACTTGAGAAATCTAACAAAAAAAAGAGTAAAGAATCGAAATCCAATAAATTAAAAAGTATTCCAGATCAGAGAACGGAGAGGTTCGAAGACGACAAGAAGGGAGAGTCTGAAACCAGCAAATCAAAGGACGCTCGGGAAGGCGAAAAACCGGGAAACCATGGCAAGGATAAAAAGTTAAAAACAAAAAAAGCGAAGAGCGATTCAAGCAAGAAGCGCAAATTGGGAGAGAGTGAAGGGCCCTCGAAGATCGAGGGTGAGGAGAAAAACGAAACCGAGCCACCCATCAAGATTACCAAAAAGTCAAAAAAAAAAAAATCCGTAAAAGACAAAGACGGACAGATTGGACCCGAGGTGACTCAAACCAAGGTGAAAGCGGAATATCCACCGGAGGTTGAGTTGTCCTTCGACAAAACGCCGCAAGATACGAAATCATACGTAAGATCTACTGTGAGCAGTAAAACACCACCAGTAGCCGCAGAAGAAAATAGACAAACACCCTTTCGGAAGGTGAATGCGGAAATGTTAATCGATCTGCCGCCAAAGGCCTTTGAAGATTTTGATAAAGGGGTTTATACATATATGAATGCATTGGTGATGCAATATGTCGACGAACTGGATGGTATCGTGCTTGCCTATGAAAATGTCCAACTATGCGATAAGTCTGGTTACATATATGAAGATTCACCATACAGTCATTTCTTTGTGAGGGCTGATTTCATACTTTGGGACGCATCGAAAGGGTGCAGAATGGGTGAGTGCAATCAGACTCTGGTGAAATAAAATTTTGTGATATGATAAATAAATAACCAACTCTTAAATTTCATCAAAAATGCAGTTGGAAAAGTCATCAGACAATCGCCCTTGCACATTGCTCTCTTACTTTACGAGTCATTTAACGTAAAAATCAACCGTCAGAGTATACCAAATGACATTTTTGAATGGCGAGATGATGATCACTTTTACAATGCAATATTTTCTGACGAGCAACTGGAACTTGATAAACTCTATCAGGATGGACAATGGTACGACAAACGATCCGGTGAAGGAATCACCGATTGTTGGATGGAATTTGAGGCAGTGGGGTAGGCATCAAGTTATGGCAAAATTTATGCTAGATGGTATCGGAAGTGAGAATAATTAAATTGGGATTTGATCTAGATCGGAAATTGATGAAGGCATCATATTTGTTTTGGGATCCTTGCAGTACTATAGTGAAAGTCCGGTCCAAGATGAATTGGACGCTCTCAATCAGATTCAATTTGATAAGAGCGTACTTGATCTTACCATAGAGATAGAAGAGGAAGCAAACGAGTCGAGTCCCTCAAGTGACGAAGACGCGAACTCGTCGAACTCATCTTCGAGCGGTGACTCGTCGCATCCGTATGATGGTTAAGCGTAACTGATTGGAGATTTTAACATTGATCTTTACCATTCTAGTAATTTTACACGAGAACCGATTAATTACGTACGTCTTACAGGTCGATGAAATCCAATGATGGAATTTGAAGTATTCAAGAATACTCCATTAATAGTCTACCTCTTTCCTTAGAAATGAGAAGCACACGTGTCAATTAGATGCCTGTTTAAATCACGTGCCATAAGTCGTAGTCACCTTGAATTTCAAAAATAACATTTCAAAGAACGAGAATAATAGAATTCGCTTTTTAATTTGCGCTGATTCCTTTTATAAAGAGGGAGATGAAGCATCTGAAATAAAGAGATTGGTGCAAATAAAGTACACGTGTTTGTGAGCAGGATGTATGAGGATTTTCAAACAAATACGGCATTCTCAACAGAGAATTCAATCAAGTCATCAGAATTTGGTAAGAAATCGACAGTGATGTCTTCTCCCGATACCTGATATAATGAATTTGTAAATCCTTGTTAAACGAGTGGTCTCGTCAGACAACGTTGACACGCGATACTCACGCACAACGAAGCCCATCTCCTAAATAATCTCTCGGTGAGAACGAAATGTTTATCGCCCTCTACCGATAAACATCCTTCGGGGTGATAATTGCAATAACCCGAATATTTGGTCTTTAAGATTGTAAGAGCTATTTTAAATCGACTTTTGAAACTTTCGGGTTCCTTGAAATAAGAAAATATATGAATCTACTGTATCGCATGTAACATATAAAAGATCCGCTTTGGATTGTATATTTACTTCATTGTCGATAGTTCCATTCGAACCAAGGTGACCTAATACCATGGTTTCCGCACCGCATGATTTTAATAGGCTTCGCGAAAACCCATTTCACACCAAGCAACACTTACTATTTCGAATGGATTTGTCTTCTAAAAAAAAGAAAAAGTTAAATTTCTTAAAGAGGAATATCTTTGAAATAAAATAGTTTATAGGTGCTCACCGATCTGAGGATTCCCGTCCTCATGACCATCATATTCATGGTCCTCATCTTCCGTCATATTAATGGGAATCTCGGCATTCGCGAGAGTTGATGACTTTTCGAATTTTCGAGAATCATATGTTTGACCATCTGAAATACAATTATTGCCCATCAACCGATATAACAACAATGACACCAAAGAACCGGTGAAAATATTCTTTAGAAGTATGTTCACCGTCCAGCAAGTCTCTACCACGTGATGAACGGTGATCAACAACATGGAACATTGCTTCTTTGGCAAAATTATTACATCTAGGAGTAATGAAGGCTATTTCTGACTCAATTGCCTCGTTTTGCGACGATTCATTGGTATCATTATCACCACTACTATGGTTGGCTGAAAGATGCTCAAGTAAGGCTTCAGATAACTCGAAGTCCTTGGGTACAATTGTTTTCATCTCTATATTAAGAAGATTAACGAGATAAACTTCAAGTGTATTGTTAGATTCGGCGGCGTTAGTAAGCTCGAGACCAAGGTAATTCAGGGGTGGAACGGTGTTCAATGATTTTAAATTATTGATGCCAATATTGCGATTGACCTTACTCATTCTCTCATCTTCGTTGACATTCGATCGTTCATGGTTCTTCATTTTTTTACGATATGGAGTTTGAACCAATCCTTCCGCAATCCTTTCTGATTTATCTTCTCCATCTTCCCTTTCGCTCGACCTACATTCACTCAACAAGTTCAACACATCCTGATGCCTACAGACGACATCCCAATCTCGATTGTGAAATAAGTTTTCGTGATATTTTTTGAAGCCGTGGAGGTACCTTCTGATTCTTCTCAAGCTATTAGTTGACTTTTTTATGCGAATGTAATTGCAAAGGTTCTCCAAGGAGATCGGAAACACTGAACCATCAACATTTTTCCACCCACGCGATTCAGCGAGAATGATATAAGATCGCATGGTTTTATCT